TTACTTAGGTGCTTTAAAAACCCGTCTTCTGTATGAGGGCAACAATTTCTCAGTGTTGGCAAAGACGAAGCTGCTCTGATGTGCTGGGTCTAAAGCAGCAGTACTGACATAGAGGGCCTGAAGGGAAAAACAAAACACATCTCTTTGTGTGATTAAAATGTACGCCTATTGACACCTTGTCACCAAAGTGTTTCTCATTCATTTGAAAGTAGGCACACTCCTTACACGCCCCCCTTATAAAGGACACTCAGCTCTGAGCACACCCTGCCTCTTTTAACATCCACTATTTAAACACACCCACCAAACCCCCTACATTTTAAAACAATTTTTAACTATGGCTTCTCACTAGAATCAGTGTTTGAAGCGTTTTTAAAACTGCTGATACTCAGGACATATTTCAAGGATTCTGATTTAACTAGAAGCTACTCAGGTAATTCCAAGTGCGGCCAGTGGGAAGAACCTGTTTTTTAAATGGATATAGAAATTACCACATGGGAGTGGTGTTTACCTTCAGTGTGGCACTTAAAATAGGAGAGAGAATTTTATTTGACAAAGGAAGAAACTGAGGCCCAGGAGTTTAAGAGACTTGTCCCAAAACACACAAACCAACTAGTGGCAAAGCGGCAGCCTGAACCCGGGGTTTGCAGCCTGGAGCACCACGCCATCTCCAGGCTATGGATCCCCAGCCCAAACCCCAGGCCCAGGGCAGGTCAGCTTCCCCGTGGGCCAGGCCAGCCAGCATGCCGGCAGGGGCAAACCACTAAGAAAGGCGCTTTGCTTCATCGACTGCAGTGGTTCTCAGCATTTCACACACAGCTTTTCAAATGTATTATCCCAACCTCATATTGAAATGCCTCTGAAAGATTAGGTACAGATCCGAGGGGAGATACACATACAAGCAATCAAAGGGGCCTGAGATCCCATCATAACAGGCAGTGTAGACAAAGAGTTGGCCCAGGACTTCATTCAGTGGTGAACAAGGACTAGATCCACTTAGAAAATGGAAATGAATCCACTTGGGAAATATCAAGGTTTTTCTGGAAAGGAGTCAAGGTTGCATACTTTAACCTCTCACAAGAGGGATCTCTCTTAGCTCACAACTGGAAGAAATGGGAACATATCTGAATTGTAAAGACCACCCCGGAATCTTATGGGCCAATTTAATCACAACACCCCACACAGGGTTCTCCAGACCTAAATGTTCAGAAGCAGAGCTCCTTGGGATTATTTTAACATAGTGCTCAAAACCTCAGAGTTGCTTCAAGAAGGAAAAAAAATCTCTAAGAGAATATAATTTTAAATCGCATGTTCAGAAAAGGGCATTTTGGATGTATATTCTTTGGGGCTAACTCACTTGTTTTGGAGAAAAGTGATACACACTCATTTAATTTTTTTAAACAATTTTACTTTTTATTTATAAAGCAGGTTCGTTTCCTCTACATACTACTTTGACCCATGTACTTTCAGACACATTAAACTATTTAAGCAGTTTAAACAAAACAAACGACAGGGTAACTGCGATGGGGAAAAAAGAACTCTCCCGGTGATGACTGCAACGTCTGGCTTCCTAACTTGACTAATAAAACTTTTTCTGGGGTTCTGTCAAATCCACAACTACAGTCACCTGATCAGATGCTTTGGGGCCAAACGTATGGTTTTCCTGATTCTTGTTTAACTTAAGAATCAAGATTTTTGATAAGTAATTCTAACGGCAATTATAAAGTAATACATGGCAATATTATGCTGTACAAAACTTACTTGAATGTGATTCAAGTCCAGTATTGAGTTAGTTCTCCACAATTAAAGGTAATAATTTCATCCACTCAAGTCCCCTCTGTTAAGCACACACATTGACATACATTTGTTCCTTGTCTTGTTAAATAAATACAGAAACCAAATTAGAAGGAGTTCTGCAGATTTCTGAGAATTTAACTATATCATTAAATTGCAGTACCAATGATCTATATAGTTACTTCTGTCCTGAGTAATTATCTGCATTAACTTCATTTTATAATGCTTAATTTACTTAAGGAAGATTTTAAACTACTTAACAGAAATCAGCATAATTTCGATTTTTCACTTGCTCCACCGTGTTTCAATTCATTAGTGTTTCAATAACAAGGAATGAACTCTATCGTCTTAACAAAACGAACATGGAAATTTCCTCATAAGAGAAAAGAAGAAATTGAAATGATTTCCATATTCAAGTCATGGAACACCGAAGAGAGGAGTTTTGGCTCCTAGGAGAGGCATCTGTTACCTCAAAAGGAAGGCCACTCACTAAAATTCTGTGGAAATAGGACAGTGGGGCCTGCCAAGAAGGAATTCAAGGAAACTGGGAATGGCAGCACTGTGATCCCAGGCCGACTGTTGGGCGTAGAGGTTTCCTTCCCTTAGGTGCTTTGCCTTTACCAAGCTCTTGCTAAAATCAAAGACCGTGCGATGCAAAACAATTCATGCTAAAATCCAAACATGACACCAGAAGCAAACAATTAACTGGGATCCCACTGTTACCCCTAAGACATATATTGAGATAAGAAATAAGCTATATTCTCCATAAATCAAACTATAGAGGTTTTAATGATTCTTGCTTTTTATAAAATGAAATACATTTTCTTACTTCTTTAACATAAATAAACAAAAAAGCTATAGCACTCACGCCTCTCTCCCCAAATAGTTGCTCCTTTGCATTTAACAATTTACATGCATATCTGGACAACAGTTATCCTCCAGTGGCAAAGAAAAAAAAAAGTGTAAGAAAAATCACACTGACTGTTCTCAGAGATTTGTTTATAGACATTAAACAACAACAACAAAAACACAACACTCAACATCAATCTATTAAAAAGTCATCTGAAAGCACATGGATGTGACTTAGAAGCCATGACACTGAGATAGGGAGCTCAAAGTTGTAACATTAACAGAATTGGACCCACATTTCTTCCAAGCATCAGAATTACAGGGACTTGAATATAAATTGAGTTTGGGTTATTAAGTGGTTGAAGAATTTGTTCTTTTTGTCTAAGAATATTGATAGGCTCTCAGATTTTCAGATGCGTAATTAATAAGATTATTAAGAATGTCAACACACATACCACTCCCAGTCGTGGAGAACTCTGCATTTCCCAGCTAATAAGCAACAATAAAACCTGGCAGCCATTTTCCCCTTTGTACTTTCAAACATCCAAAGAATTACACAACCACTCCAGTACTAAGAGATCCAGGGGTGTTTCAGACATGTGGGAGAAAATGCTTAAAGGCAAAATTCCTCAGACACAGGCCACAGTGCAGAACCAGAGAGCTCTTCGCTCCGTTAATCCTGTCACAATCCCACGTACATGTGCGCTGTGAGAAAGACCCTATCAACCTACAACCAAATGTGCTATTTTCCCTTTGAGGTCACAGTAATTGTTATCTCCACAAATACACCAAACTCTAAAGCCAAGGCTGTTCTTGAGAGAAAATCATTAAATCACAAGGATTGGCTTTACCCACTGTGCAGGTCCCAGTTAATAAATGAAATAAAAACTTTTCAATTAAAAGCTTTTCTCTGGTGCCTCCATTCCAAACATCTCCTTCTAGTGCTGGGTTAACAGCTAGTGTTCTGAAATGGTTGTCTTTTTTATTTGAGATTCCGTTCCAGGGAGCTTATTGTTTTTTGGCCGATCACCCGGGTTATTCTTTGGGCCCCCCTCTGTTTAAACTGTTCCAAGAATTCTGTTCAAGAATATTCAGTGACACACTCTGCCCCTGACTTCGGTGAAGAGCACACCTAGAACAGTTGTCACTCCAAGAGAGGGGGCCCACAGTGGAGCATTTCCATTCTGTGCAGTCTACTCCCAAATGGATGAATACAATCTGCTCGACTGTGGTTAGTATTCTGTTGGGCTCCCTCTTCTCCTACAGAATGCTTTGACTGGAATCAGCTAAGAGCAGGGAAAAACCTGCGGGAAGAGGAAAGGTCACCGGTGGGCAGGCCATGTTCCGGGGGGGGGGGGGGGTGAGGCTGGGACCACGAGAAGGGGACAGGTGTCCAGGCAGTGTGGGGAACAGCAAAGGAATAGCATCTACGTTCATGGCCAAGGGTAGTGACCAACACTGAACTGCATGACCCAAAATGGTGTCAGGGAGTATGGTTGCCTCTTAAGGAGTCCTACCCTTCAAGTGGGAAAGAAGTCAGAGGCAAGTATAGAATGAGCTAGAGAAACAAAACCACAATTAGTTTTAAGCATTCTGAACCACCTACACTGTGTCTGTTTCCATATTCTTTTATTTCATTGGGCCTCTTCTGGGTTATTTTTCTGCTAACTCCAACACTCTGGGAATATACTTGATTTTCCTTGTTACTAGGGAGGTGCTACTTCAAAGGACCACACAATGTTGAACAGAAAAAAAAAAAAGATGTATTTGATGGGTGGCCTTTGAATATGGTTTTTCCCCTATTTTAGAATGAAGTTGGGTTAAGAAAATCTTTAGTAGGTGTCCATCCAAAATAAGTCATTGCAATGATTCACTCTGTGACATTTCAGCAAGCCCACTGGAGACATTAGTGGGTGATACTGCAAATGGAAGGCTCCTGTTTTGAAATTCAAACTGTTTGTGATGCCTTCCAACTGGGAAACTGGAAACTCTGGCCACTGAGTTCCCCTTGGGTTCTAATCTTTCCTGAACCTAACCAAAATCTTAGAGGTGGGGGCAAGGGCAGGGACAGGGACATGCCTGGGCTACAAGGGAGAACAAGCCTCTCCCTCTACTGTCTTCCTCTAATGCTGAGTCAAATTACCCATAAACTTCTAGCACTTCTTAGGGTAAGTAACAGTTTTGTGGGTGCTGTGGCCACCATGCTGTAGAGAAACCAGGAACAGAGCAGCTCAGATGCCGAACCCAGGTGTTTTACAAGTCTGAGGGGGCACGAGGGGGTGCCTGTCCACATGTGGGCCTCAGGCAGATGAGCTGGAGGCCATGCGAGTCAGGCTGGAGGAAACAAACACCAGGGAGTCTCCAATTAGTCCAGTGGTTCTCAAACTTGAGCATGTTTCAGAATCGCCCAGAGTTTCTCATTCAGTAGATCTGGGGTGGGGCCCAAGGTCTGCATTTCTAACACATTTTCAGACGGTGATGCTGGGCCCAGAACCAGATATTGAGGACCTGTTCCTTCACTTCTGCCCAACTCAGGCTGAGGAACAGGAGGAGAAATTGTACCCCTAGATACAGCACTGTCTTCATGTGGCCCATTGTATGGTCTGCCCAGTGATGAGTCACAAAGGCACATGCCTGGTTTCTTCATGCAGTTCGTTCAAGAATGGGGTCAACCTTGACAAGGTGAATGGCTCTGAAGACAAAAAAGTATGATGAGAAAGTAGCAATGTTGTTAGAAAAAGCACATAGCCTCTTGCAGATGAATGCGTTAAAAATTAACCCTCACACGGAGCTCTACTTTCTATACAAAATCATCACTCTAATTCCTTTAACATCAGGACAGCTAAACACACCGCTCTCTTTCCGCACCTTCAGCCATTATATACCCAACTACAAGTCTGCAATCCCCGTTAAGTAAGTTAGTGGCCTCTTTCGTACTTCTTTCTTTTCTTGGTTGGGCTGCTCCGGATTGCAGATAATCTTTCAGTGTTTGTGGCTGAGCCGGTTTGCTGTGCCTGCCCTGGCTGATTTTTTGTAAGATGTCCGGAGGAGAGATTTTCCCCAACATGCAACTCTTCATTAGATGCCGTTTTTGCCAAACCTTGTTTCAAAAGTAACCCCGGATCTGACAGCTCTGAGGTTGGCAAAACCCACTATTATTTCTCTTGGGACTAATCGATCACTTCCAAGAGAAACTCTCTTGTGGTGGTCGATGTCTTCTGCAGAGCCCCGGTTCCTGCGTTTCTGTTGTGTTCTGGCCCCTTGTGGACTTTGTTTTGGACCTGGTGATGCTGACTCACAGCTACAGACAGGGCTCCTGCCTAGAAGCCCTGTCTCTAACCACTCCCCGAAATGAGGTTTTTGCTGGCTGCTAGTGTCTTCTGGCTGGGTCTGATGAACATTTTCCAGCTTTTGAACAGGAAGCCCCCAGTGGCTCTTGGCTGCCTTTATGTAATCTTCTGCTTGTCCTGTGGACTCTGATGGGGGACTGGTTGAAGCCCAACTGTCACCCCTCCTCCTCGTTATCTCCGCCATCACTGGGTCACTAGAAGTTCCCACAATGTCCCTGCTGCTCCATGATTTGCTCACAACGCTGTCTTTTGTTTCAGTTCTTTTTGCACTAAAACAAAGAAAGATTTTGTTTTGTTTCATTTTGTAAAGCTGTAATGGCATGCTGCCCTCCAGTTCCTATACCCCTTGTCATGTTTCCTAGACCTCAAAAAGGAGGCACGTGCTACCTTTCCTTCTCCCTTACCTCCCTGGCAAATCTAGAACAATCCCTTAGTGTTATGTTTAAATTCAGACTGGATCAAGCAATAGCCATCACATTTTCCAACACACGAGTATTAGTTATTAAGATACACGAGGACAGGCTTTGTTTCTTGATCACTGGGTTGGCAATGTAGTTATATTGGAGTTATGATGGATCTATTTTAACTAAGGCAGGCAGGTGTTCATTTCAGAAGTGAAGGGTCAACATTGCCTAAATTTGATATATTGTTTTTATTACTGCAGAAGTAAATGATCAGATACATCCAAAGCACAGGCCGTGCATGCGCGCGCATGTGTGTATGAGCACGTGTGCACACAAGGATGTGCTTACACACACATACACACACCTTTTCTATAGCACATACAAAAGGCAATGCAAACTTCAGTCTAATTGTAAAATTCACTTTGAGGGGCAGGGCAGGAGCGGCATGGGGAGAATTGAGAGACTGGAGACTTTAACTTCAACACCGATTTGCAGGCTTGTGAATAACAAGAAATTTCTTAAACCACCAAACTCAAAACACTGAAGCTGAAATATTTACTTTGGCTAAGCTTTAGTCTGGAAACACACACACACACACACACACACACACACACACATACACACACACACACCTTCTTATTGTTCCTAATCAGAGGCATGAGAATTATCATAATTATTAGAATCAGAACCTGCATTTTAGCAAAGGAATGTGTTTTTTTAGATGGGTCTGTAGTCACTTGGAAAGTTGTATGAAACACACCACCAAACAGGTGCTTTTCATCTTCAAAGTGCTTGTAATTAATTACTCCTTGCAACACACCTGTGAAGAAAGGACTCGCTCCCCACTGTCCAGAATGCAAGAGACAGTCAGGAAGGCAGAAGGGTAAGCATAAGACTTAGGGTAAGGTCAGTGCCAGAGGGGGTTTGTGATTAATTTCCATGAACTCCTGTTGAGTTCCAGACTTCATGTCACATATCCACACACACACAATCAAAAAGAAGGAAAAGAAAACTTGTCGGACCTACATTTCTTTCCGAGCGTTTCTCTTGCGCCTTGCACTGGGAGGAAGTGAACTCTCCGCACACTCAGCAAAATAATCAGACGCTCCGTGGAGAGCTCCTTCCGTCTACTCCAAAAGATAACAAAGGTTCAACTAGAAATCTATTAGCTGAACATGAGAAAAAACAGTTCTGCTCTGAATGCCCCAGTGAACGGATTTTTGTGAAGACTAGATGAAACCACTTAGTGTTAAGCTATTTTAATTTTTTTAAATCTAGAACTTTTCAGTAAATGTCACTTTTTTTGGACCCCTACCCAACGCAGTTCATACGTTAATCTGCACCACAGACATAAAAGACTGTAAGAGAAAGGATGTTGGTTCCAAACCATCTGGGAACTCTTGGCCAATATCTGCTAACTTTGTGGCCCCAAGTGTGTTGAAGCCCAGAATCACGGTGCCAGGCAGCGGCATGTGTGTGAGCTCTGATCTTCCAGAGAGACCTGGTGGCACTGTGGTCTGTACCCTGATTAGCCTAAGAATTCCACACATTTTCTCTATTTACAAAAATATAGAACGCGGCCTTTGCAAAACTCAAGGCTACATAAGTGAGTTAAGCCTTTGAATACTGGTACTTTGAAAACTGAAGTTTGTGATTCTTGGCTTCCAGAAAACTGGGAGTTTTTTCTTAGACCTAACAGCACTACCACAGTTTTTACATAATTCAGAGATTATCTGTGTATCTATCGTTATATGTTCCCAAGGAAGCTTCATACAGAAGTACTCATAAAATGTCAAAAACTCCCAATCTTTGCCAACATTGACCTATTTCATAGTTTTGGAATCATTTCCTTTTTGTTAAGGAGATAATCCAGACAAGGTGTTAACTCTTCTCATTTCCTGGGACAGTAAGTGCCCTTCTCCACCAAATTCCACAGTAAAATGTTGAGGCCATGAGGAACAATTTTGGGAAATTATCAGTAGGTCCCTTGCTTTAGACTTACATTGGAATTTAACAATGGCAGTCCCAGAATGTCTGGTAGACAGCAGCCATCAGTATGATGCCTGGGTGCCCCACAGGCCGGTGCTCTGACCTTTGTGCAATCACTACCCTGCAGCCCCGAGTATGAGTCTTTAGCTCCCGCTAATCCCGCCTATGGTTTCAGACCTGGATCAATGTCACTCATAGTCATATCCAGTTATAACCTAAGTCAGTTTTAAGAGTCAGTGAACAGGATATTGTAGGTTTTATTGGATTATACTGCATTTTGATGCTTCTCCCTTTCTCCCCATAAGACTTACTAGTCGACTAAATAGAGCTACAGTTTTAAAGTTAAGTGAGAGAGAGAGAGAAAGAGAGAGAGAGATGGAGGGGAGGAGGAAGGAAGGAGGAGAGAGAGAGGGGTATAGGGAGAGAGGGAGAAATGAGAGAGAGAGAGAGAGAGAGAGAGAGACTGAGATTTATGTGTGAAACACTTCTAAACATGCCCTATAAGTACAGTAGATTTTCCCCTTACGACCACACCCTGTAAGTGCTGTATTTTCAGAGCTGAACAATTAACATAAGGAGCATGAGTCAGGCTTTGAACAACTCTGTGGGAACCAGAAAGCCTTTTGCTATTAGGAATGATGTAAATTCCCCAAGGCTTGAAGAAGTCCACAATGGAAGGCAGACAGGGTCATAAATAACAACAATGGATACTGCGTAGACCACATAAAGTATGATGCCGCGATAGTGACACTCTTCAAATCTCATACTAGATCCAATCTCTGCCTTTATTTATTTATTTTTTAAACTCAGTTTAAAGAGCACTATGTATTTCCTATGGGAACTTCAAAAACTTCTTTAAGAAACATGACAACTGACTCTCGTCCCAAATTCCCCTGATCACAAACAATGGGGGAAAATGTCCTTGGAAGGAAAAGGACAACAGAAAACATGATGGAGTGACATAAGGAAATGTCCAGTTCAAAAAGGGCAAAACCTGTGACTTTGGTTTAAAAAAGAGAGAAAAAGAAAAGAAAATGGCAAGGCAGGGTCTCCTGCTTACAAATTAAAACCACATTTGGCAATTTGTTGAAGGAGGCATATTTACATTTGTATGAAGACTGGGTGGGCAGGAAAAAAAAAAAAAAGCTTAGATTCCTTCTTCAGTCCTTGAACTGTCAGATCTCATTAGAAATCTCTCATTCTTATTTTTCTAGGGTCAAGTCATTCCCCTTTGTCACTAAATCGCAGCCTCCAGAGCCCCCCAAAGAAATATTCCAGAGGAAGCAGTGATCCTCTGGAACAGGGACTGGGAACAGGATTTCCCAGGGGAGTTGTCCTGATTACTAATGGCTTCTCGCATCTGGCACCAAAATGTAATCTGTGGCTTATCCAGAGGCAAAACTCTAAGGTACAGACTGTGCGTGCTCGGAAGTGCTTCTTGGGTTTACCTAAATGACACTACTCCTTTTTAGATTCTGCCTTGAATAATGACCCAGACATCTTCTGCAAAGAAGACACACAAACTCAATATATTAAAAAAGGTTACCAGTTGGCCATCCAAAGTCCAGAGTGCACACTCCACGGGGACTCAGTTATTTAAGAAAGAGGTTAACCAAGGGGCGCCTGGGTGGCTCAGTCAGTTAAGCATCTGACTCTTGATTTTGGCTCAGGTCGTGGTCCCAGGGTCGTGGGACTGAGCCCCACATCAGGCTCGGTGCTCAGCGGGCAGTCCACATGGGATTCTCTCTCTCCCTCTCCTTTGGCCCCTCCCCCTGCTCGCTCTCTAAAATAAATCTTTTTTTTTTAAATCTCAAAATCTCAAAATACCACTAAAAAAAAAAAAAAGAAAAGAAAAGAAACAGGTTAACCAAAGGGCTCTCTTTGGGCCTTCATCAGTGATTCTTCTTAACCTAGAAGCTAGCTCTGAGTCTAGCCAAGGAATAAAATCCTCCAAGTATCATCACCTGCCCCGTCCACTCCCCACCCATTTACTTTTTAATTTTTGGTAATGCTTTGATTTTAGTTTTAAACAAAGAGTGTCTATATATAGTTCCAGGACAAAACCAAAAAGAAGTAGGGCAGGGCCACAGGCCCCAAAGGGAATCTAATCCAGGGGGACACCTTCCTTGGCAGATTGAGCAGCCCAGGAAAGCTCCCAGAGCAAGGGGTCAGGTCTTGTCGCCATCCCCAGGGATGCTGTGGAGTCTAGTGGATGCACCCTGAGGCTAAGGACGTGCACCCTAGTACAGGTCCAAAAGGAAGGGTGAATGGGTGAATGTTTAAGTATGAAGATCAGTGATGTTACCTCAATGCTGTCTGGTCTGACTTGGGAAACACATCTTAAATTGTGGATAGAAAAGACTGCAAAGAGAATCCCCACCAGAATTAGCAAGGCAGCTAAGACTTGCTTCCTGCCTCTAATCAGAGAATGGGCTGGATTTAAATATAGTTAGAAATACTGGCTGATGTTCAAGTTACAAAGGCAAATAGAAACTGTGGATAAATCAAGGTGTTCGCTCCATGGTGACTTACTGAATACCAGTTTAGAGTAGAACACTGTTGGATTAATGAGGGATGGGAAGAGAAGTTGGCCTAAAAAGACATAAGAAACACCTGCTCTTGAGTTTATAACCTCCTCAAGGAGCCTGTAAAACACAGCTGAGGCTCCCACAGGCTGTTGGGAAGACTGTCACCAAGGGAGCTTTTCAAAAAATATAGATTCCCAAGACCCATCCCTGGAAGTTCTGATTCACCAGACCTAGGGTGGGGCTATGAGATCTATATTTAGGTTCCCAGGTGATTCAAGCACTGCTGATATACATGAAATAATACTTGACAGAACAGAGCAACAGATAAACAAATGTAAACCAGTCCACTGGAGGCACTGTTTGGCAAAGTGTGGTCCAGTTACCTCAGGCATCAAAATTATCGGGGGAGCTTGTTCAAAAATGTTCCAGATTCTACCCCAGGATCTACTGCATTTGGATCTCTAGGGGGTAGAGTCAAAGCATATGCATTTTAAGCAATTTCCCCAGTGATTCTGATACCCAGCAGAGTTAATGAACTTCTGCCCACTCTAATGGGGCACGGACAGACTTGATAACTGAGCAGAGTCCGGCAGAATCATCCAATCAGGCAACACTGAGCTCTGTACCGAACACTGTTCTGAGGCCTTTGTGGAAAAGGATGTGGACTCACAGAAAACATCCCTGCTCTCACGGAATCTCCATCCCATGGGGAAGACAAGAAACAAATAAACATATGATGCGTCAGAAGGTTGTGATGTTATGAGGAGAAATAAACGTCCCAAGTGTCTGTTTTAGATATGTTCGTTGGGGGGGGAAGGCTGTAGTAGGTACGAAGATGAGCTTTACCTAGAGATCTGAGTGGAGGGTGAGCCATGTGAACACAGTGCATTTCAGACAGGGAGAAGCATGAACACCTAGGCTCTGGAGATGGTGTGTGCCTGGGGGGAGAAGAACAGGACAGCAATCCAGGGGAGGGGTTTGGAGGGCAGGTAGCAGGGGTGTGTGTGTATTGGTGGTGGTGAGGGGGGCAAATCACATATGGCTTTCATAAGGATGGCACATTTTATTCTAAGGACAATGATGTGCCTCTGGAAGGTTCTAAGGGGAAAAGTCACTTGGCATGTTAAAAGGATCACTCTGGGTGCCGCAGAGGGACAGATGGACATGGGGAGACCAGTAATGAGACTACTGCAATAGTCCACTCAGAGACGAGGAGCTGGTGATGGTAAGAAATGGTTAGATTGGAAATATAATTTGAAGGGAGGCCCCATGGAATGTGTCAATGGATTGGATATAGTTGGTCAGAAGAAAAGTCAAGGATGACTCCAAGATTTGTGGTTTAAATAAGTGGGTGAAGGAAGTTAGCCTTTACCAACACAGGAAGTACTGGGGGAGGGACAGCCTTGGGGAAGTGGAACCAAGAAACCAACCTTAGATATGTAAACTTGAAGAGTCCTCCTGGGTATCTAAATGGAGATGTTGAGCAGGAAGTTAAGATACAGGTTCCAGGAAGAGAGAGGTCTGGGCTACAGACACAAAGCTGGGAAGTCCATGCAGATGGTATAGAAAGTCATCAGTCAGGATAACTCCACTACAGGGTGAGTTTGGAT